CATTAGGGTCCTATGGAGTCATAGTGACTTGCATCAGGGTCCTAGGAAGTCAAAGTGGCTTGCACCAAGGTCTTAGGGAGTCATAGTGACCTGCACCAAAGTCTTAGGGAGTCACAGAGACTTGCATTATGGTCCTAGGGAGTCACAGTGACTTGCATCAGTGTCCTAGGGAGTCAGAGTAGCTTGCAAAAAGGTCCTAGGGAGTCACAGTGACTTGCATTATGGTCCTAGGGAGTCACAGAGACTTGGATCAAGGTCCTAGGGAGTCAAACTGACATGACCCATAGTCCTAGGATTCACAGTTACTTGCAGTATGAAAGACAGCTGTACATGTGTTTGTTTGAAATTGCATTGCTCTACATGTTTGAATGTTACCATGACAGCACCAACTGAACCTGAAGGACTATCTAACATTACAATGGGGCGACCAGTGATAAACTCTTCTAACTATTGTGAGGATACTGATACAGCAAACCAAACACGACTTACCGGTAGATCCGGATGATCAATTGAAAAATTACAGACTAGATAGGTGCCAGGATCATTGCCATCATCCATGGAAAGTTTTCTAAAATGGGAACAATAAACACAATCTCTTTGTGCAGTGGGCCATACTCGCTTTATGGTCTCATGCCAGATCAAACAATCATCGCTCAAAGGTTCAATGACCTCACCATATTCTAAAGTCACTGCAGTGATAAATAAAAAAAAATGTTAAAGTTCAACAGCACATAATTGTCTCTATCTCACTCATATCATATTTCAAACACAAAACATTTTAGATTAAAAATCACATTCTAGGAGCTTTCTAAACAACATAATGCTGATCTTAACTTTTTCCCACCAGTCATAGTCTGCACTTTCCTTCAGAAGATTGGGAAAAACATAGCCAGATTGTTTTGAGTAAAATCAGAAAATTTACTCAATTTTTGTTCTGTTGGCTCCAAAATTAGGATTCATTTCCAGAAATATTTAAGAATATAAGAAAAATTTGGGCATCTGTAGCATACAGTACTATGGTTGTCAATGCGTTAACACATTTTATACAGGCCACACAAATCTGTATGTTATCTATAGCAAACAGCACTATGGTTGTCAATTTGTTATTTGTGAAATAGTTTGTTACTTACCATTCCACTCCATTCTACAACCACCATCGAAAAAGTAATAACACATTTCATGTGCAGATATCCCTTGTACTCTGTGTACAGCTTTGAGGGGATCTATAACAATTCCATCAATCTCCTGTTCACTACGATATACCTGTAAGATGCAAACAACAATAGTATCAATATCCTGTTCAGGACAGAACAATGTCACTACATCAAAATACTGGAATGTGATTGGTCAATCCATAACCACTAGTTTTGAAATATGCAACTTAATAAACAAAAACAGCATAATTATCTCCATAACATTGTAAACAAGATGCATCTAAGTCACACAAAGATTCACTACTAACAAATAACATAATCAATGGCAATATGTGACAAATCTGACACCTGTATTTTTGCTGTTCACATTCTAGAAATCAATTTTATCTGTAATGAATTATTCACACTTTTACACAGACTACTTTACTATAAAGTTGTCTCTTTTACACAGACTACTTTACTATAAAGTTGTCTCTTTTATACAGACTACTGTACTATAAAATTGCAAACTATATGGGTAAAAACAAAAAATACAATGTTTATGTGTATCTTACGACTTTCTTTTATTGTAACTAAACATAGTGTCATTCAGTAAGTAGTATTTTTAGCTAAAATTGTTTATTTCTTTGAAATTTCATGACAAAAGATCAAGAAAAATAAAGCAATGTGTAATAAAAACCTCTGAGGATTGAAATATTGTGCTTAGTTTAATTAACCCACTATCGAAGGCCATATTACCTTTGATATTTCTTTTTGGAGAGCATTTAAGAGTTCATTATTGACCTTCATAGGTAGTTATTAACCTTGGCATGTCTACCTGGGGCAGTAAAAGTAGATTACTAATCTCCATTGAATAACAATTTACCTTCATTTCACCTTCTTCATGAACTAATTGCCACGTTCCTTCTTCACCGTGTAAATCTTCAAAGACATACTTAATTGCTTCATCCACCTTTTTATCACACTACAGAGTAAACAATAAAATAACATGTTATTCTTAAAATCTATGCTGAGATATTATCACAATACAAAGTAATGTATGTATACACATATCAACTGTCACATAGTTTGACACACATACCTCTTCAGAGAGCCAATGTCTTTCGCCTTTCATTTTAACAGGAACTGGTACTTGGTGCTGGACGGGTTGAATGTGTGTCTGTAACTTGTCATTCTGTGTAGTGATAAGAGAAATATTACCATTGTGACAACACTATAATTAATGTCTCATTTTGTCTTAGTATTCTAAAACCCAAATCTATCAAAACAAATAACATATAACTTCAATGTGTTTATAAACAGTACAACATCACAGATACAGATGTGAAAATAGAAGCCAATATTTGCATAGATCTAAATGAGGTCACCACCACAGCACCTACACACCAAGTATTAAAATAATCTGTAGACACATTTTATAAAAAAAAAAATGACTAAAAACATCCCACCAAACTAGAAAACATAGGAAAACTGTAATAGCCTTGCCCTTTTGAAATGTTGCAAGCGACAGGTCGGAACACACAATGGACAGTAACAATATTGTCATGTAAAAAATCAAGTTTTAATAGGAATGACAAAATAATCACCTATTGCATAATTGATTGCCAGTCAAATATCAACAACAGAAACCCATTAAAACATTTATCAAACAATTAAAAACACACAGCTCTCTAGGTAACAGTTTACAATGGTGGAGGATGAACAACATTTTTTTATATAAAAAGTCATTGAAAATAACACAGTCCCTTTCCATTCTATCTACTCTATTTTTTATGTGCATGAAACATGATGTACTATTGAAGAGAGGGCAGAAAATACACAAAAGAAATAAAATTTAATAATAAATTCACAAGAAATGGATTATTATTGTCAAAGCCTAATATTTATTTGTGTAAACATGATACTAGAATTAGAAAATATTGCAGATAGCGTCATTGAGAATATTGCTGTAAACAAGCGATGATGATAATCTGTTATTATATAAACACAAGTTTTACATGTCCTCACAAAATAAAGTGTTTTAATGTCAATCTAAACAGATCTGCAGTGATTCAAAATTGCATTCTTACACACAATAAAAACAACTCCCAAAGGATCTTAATAGGGTTCAAATCTGGAGACTGTGCAGGCCAATTCAATGTGGTGAAGTTGCCGAAAAAAAAATCCATAGTTTTTTTGATTATTTAGAAAATCCTTCACTGCCAATGGTGTGTTAATGGTGACATTATTCTGCCCAAAATAAAAATTGGGTCCAACAAGTCTTGGGGCCGACTGTCGTTTTGCAGGATATCCAAATATTTCCATCAATTCATGGTCGTCGGTACATTGACTAGCGATCTTAAGCTGGTAGCCGATAAACACCCACACACCATGACGCTTCCACCACCAAATGTAGTAAATCAAAGTTTTCATCAATTCATGGTCGTCGGTACATTGGTAGCCGGTAAACACCCACACACACCATGACGCTTGCACCACCAAATGTAGTAAATCAAAGTTTTCATCAATTCATGGTCGTCGGTACATTGGTAGCCGGTAAACACCCACACACCATGACGCTTCCACCACCAAATGTAGTAAATCAAAGTTTTCATCAATTCATGGTCGTCGGTACATTGGTAGCCGGTAAACACCCACACACCATGACGCTTCCACCACCAAATGTAGTAAATCAAAGTTTTCATCAATTCATGGTCGTCGGTACATTGGTAGCCGGTAAACACCCACACACCATGACGCTTCCACCACCAAATGTAGTAAATCAAAGTTTTAAAACACTTCAACTTGTACTCTTCACCTGGTCTCCGACTTTCATGGCTACGAAACACCGTACACTTAGATTTGTCTGACAAGATAACTTCAGCCCTAATCGCGTTTTGTCAACCTGATCAACAATGATTTCCCATACTTTCTTGCAGACAAAGTTTCAGCATGTTGAAATGTATGGAGCCTTCAGAAATTCCAAGTCTTCTTGAGATTTCCCTGGTAGAAACTCCCTCTGTGTACAGTGCTTAAATTTTCCCTTCTGACAATTCTCTAATTTTCGGCATAACTCAATGTGTTTAAATAAAAATTATCGTACTTCCCCAAGCATAAGCCTCTCCTGGAGTATAAGCCTACCCCCTCTGTTTTTAGACGTTTAACGAGTTGAGGGCATCCCCGAGTATAGGCCCAGGGTGTTTTGCCAAGCATCGATGAAATTTATTAAAATATGCATGTAAAAAGTGTATTTCATTGCATAATAATCGTGATTAGTACAGTAGTTTAATTCCTGCTTTTACGAGAAAACTCGCATTAATTTCAGAGGCCATGGCGGGCAAACATACAGAACATGGTTCACACCTTTACTATTCTGTTATTTACTCAAGATGAACCCCACTACTAAAGTAATCCATATTTCTTTTGAGTATTAGTTTTTTAATGGGGTGTGAGCGAGCAAACTATTCTTCGACAGAACACAGTCTTATTTATTTCCGTTTACATTATAATGTTGAATACCCCAGAGGTAAAGGTTTGTGAAAATTTAATTCCAGTCTACTTCAGGACGATGATTTCCATGAGTCTGTGATCCGTATCATTAATGAAAGTAAACAGAAATATGCTAATGTAGAAAACAAATGTCTATTATGGGATCTTGTTAAGTGTGACATCAGACAGTTCTGTATTTATTTTTCGATTGATAGATCTCGTAAATATAGAAAAAAGGAAAGAATGTTATATAATGAGTTAGAGCATTTGGAAACATTACCATCCGTTTCATATGATTTGAATGCAAAAGAGAGGCACGACGTTGTTTGTCGCGAATTGGATGATATAAATCGGCATTATACAAATGGTGCCGTGATTAGATCCAGAGCACAGTGGATGGAGGAAGGAGAACAGAACAATAAGTAATATATTTCGCTTGAGGAAAGAAATGCAAAATTAAAATCAATTAGTAAACTTTTTGACAATTCAGATAATATTATTACTGACCCCAAATTTATTCTAGATGAGCAGTGCAAATTTTACCAAAATCTTTGTTCTGAACAGGAGGTGCACCTCAATGATTCTGATTTTACTCACAATTCGGTAGATATATTTATTAACCAGTCTGGCATTATTCAATTGACTGATACTCAGAAATTATCTTGTGATAAGCATATTTCAATGGAAGAGTGTACCCAAGCCCTTGAAACCCTGCTTGTTGGTAAATCTCCAGGCACTGATGTGCTTACTACTGAATTTTATAAACATTTTTGGGAATACATTAAAGACCTGGTTTATAATAGCTTTCTCTACTCACTCCACACCGGGGAAGTATCGATTGAACAAAAAAGAGGAATTATTACACTTATTCCAAAAAAAAGATAAGGATTTAAGGTATTTATAAAATTGGCGACCAATTTCTGTCTTAAATACAGACTATAAAATTTTAACTAAATTAATTGCAAATAGACTTCACACGGTTTTAGATAGAATTATTGACCCAGATCAAACTGGATATATCCGGGGTAGGTATATTGGCCAAAATATTCGTCTCATTAATGATATTTTTCATTTAGGAAATCTTAAAAAAATCTGTGGCATAATGCTTTTTATCGATTTCGACAAAGCATTTGAATCCATTAGGTGGGACTTCCTTCGGTCACTTCAGGCTTTTAATTTTGGCGATGGGCTCTGTAAGTGGATTAAAATTTTATATACAGATATCCCCAGTTGTGTTACGAACAATAGCCATGCATCTCAATTTTTCACCTTGCAAAGTGGAGTCAGGCAGAACTGTCCAGTTTCTTTTATTCATTATTAGCTATCTATGTCAGGAAGTGTAATAATATTCAGGGTATTTTTGACCATAAATGATTGTGGTTTTTAACAAGAAAATATCACTTTTTACCAAAAATGACAAAAATATTCACCAAAATTAGAGAATTGAAGATATGATCATGAAATGAACAAATCTGAGAGAGGTCTACCCAAGGTACATATACACCAAGTATCAAAGCATTCAGGCTTGTAGTTTTCAAGAAGAAGTCGAAAAAGTAAAACATTGACACGGACGACGGACAGCGGACAATCACTCATACATGTATGATAAGCTCCGCTCGACAAAGTCGACAGCGGAGCTAAAAAAAAACATAGTTGAACTCTGGTGACCTTGCTCTTTGTTATATAATATAATTCCCTGTATCATAGTTTGATTCAACATAAATATGCATTGTCATAATTAATTTTGAACCAACAGTGGGGAATCAGTCTACCGAATGTCCTTAAAAGATGTAAATATCTTACAAAAGCTTTGGTGCCTTATTTGTTTAATTATTTTAAGGGACATAATTTCCAGCTTTATTCAAAGTAATTCAGATATTTTAGTATAAAAACAAATGTCTCATTGCAAAAAAAAAGTGCTGCATTTAGATGTGAATAGATTCATAAAACATGCAAGATAACAGAAAATTTTAGCTGGCTTAGTCCAACACCCTTTATGAATAGCTATCATGTTGCAAGCTCTGCTTTGTATGCAAATCAACTTAAATAGTTAGTTGGTGTCCAGTGGAGGGAGAAGTCAACAGTACTGTTGCTGCCTGAAAATCTACATCTTCAAACACTGCAATCTTTGAAGTGTGTTTTTTAAACTAGTATTATAAAAACTCTATCATTCTGTTCTAATAGCTGAAACATATTCCTGTGAGTTTTCATTTGTCGAATGAACTGTTTGTCAAATACAGAATACATATATTTTAGAATAATTTTCTTTTTAAAATGTGGATGAAATGTTTTGCTTTTAATGTATTTTTTATGTATTGTTTTTGATTTGATAACTTTGAACTAAACAGATTTTCTATTAGCTTCAGATCTTGATCAAAGTTAGGCACCCAGTTCATAGGAAGCTTATATTGATTTTCTGACATCTTGTTTTCTGTAAAGATTTTATTGGTAGGTTTGCAAATGTGTATCAGACTGTGCAATCTCTCCATGAGTTGGTTTTGAAACCCAGTATGGGATTCTGAGATACATTACCAAGGATATTATTACAAGATAAATCATTTGCTTCATTGAACACATACAACAATGCATATTTCCACTGAGATCAGTGACCTTTGATGTGTATCACCAGTGATCAGTCAAGTAGAAACAGTCAAAATATTTTATCAGATTTTC